AAGGTTTTCTTTCCTAATTACACTTGTTCTTCCTGTTAATATCTTAACTAAAGAACATGTATTAGTGATTCTATTCTTAAAAGAAAGTCTCTGTGCCACAATTAAAGAGCACTATCCTCCCCTCCATTCATCTGCCACCACCTCAGGAATATAAAAGAACAGCAATTAGGAAGTCTGAGAAAGATACTGTTCCTCAAAAGAGCAGCAAGTAGGTACCTGAGCTGGTCAGATACTATCAACAGCTTCTGCCTAGTTCACTGTCATTTTAAGACATGACAGTTTTCATTTGCAGCTGCTAAAGGGTATGTTGTTGAAGCAGTGTCTATTCCCTCTGATTACAACTGATCTCACCAGTCTCACAGGAGGCTCCTGCCTACCATATTTCATGACCTCCTGTTGACCTCATGGAAGGTCTGCAAGCTGAGTTTTACTCCCATGGTCTTTTTTCTCAGTAATGTATACTGGCCTGGTCACAAGGGTTGTGCTAACTTAAGGGACATGTCTACGACAGCCTAGCACAACACGTGGGGAAGGAAGCAGGGGCCCAGCATGTTCTGCAGTTTCCCCATCCAAAAGGGCTTCACAGACCCCTTGTGAAATTATAGCCTTGTTAAGCTACTTCCTGCCATGCTTACAGCATAGCCAGCCAGTCTAGAATAGTTTTGCCTGAAAGTGCTCCTGAAAAGAAACTGGTTCCCATTGAAGTTACTGCTGGTCAGCTACTTATCCAGGGCTCCCCTTTCCTATGGAGAAGTTATCCCTCCATTGTGCCAGTACAGCAGTTTGCACGGTTGCATTCTCAGTCACACTTGTCAAATGATCTGGCATAAACCAAAATTACTTTCTGTTGTAGCTGTTTTAAGAGTAGATCATTTCTCCAATGAGCCTCTCTCATTTAGAGGGGCTACATAAACAGCACAATCAATTTAACTGAGAGGACAATAATGTTTAATGGAGGAAAAGGGACATGGGGTGCTCCTAAATGAATCACGCATTGCTGTATTAAGAAGGAAAGGAATACATCTCTATTAAGAACGAAAGGAATAAATCTCTGTAGAGAGAGAGGGAGGGACTGACCAATGACAGTAGGTTGAACAAGCTTAAGGAAGATCCCTGGAGAGCAGACTGCAAGAGCTGACCTTTAACTCTTCTCTTTGTTAACAAAACTGAGCTGACCTTCACAGTCTTGAGGTTTCATGAATGTTCTTTTGGGGCATGTACTTCCTAGTCCATGGTTCTTTGGCTTTCTGCACTTCACTTTAAGCCAAGAGAAAACTAAAACTCAAACTGAAGTTTAGATGAAATGTGGCTGTTTCATTTATTGTGTGTCAAAACAGAGTGTTTAGCTAATTGCACACAATTCATATAATTGCAATATTTGCCAGGAACTGAAAGTTAAAATATGAATTAATTAATGTCAAATTTAAACTGGACTCATGTTCTCTTGAAACTCATGTGAAAAATATGAAATATTTCAGAGCACTAGGTACAGTTGTGTTTACATCAGTATGTAAACCCAGGAGTTTACTAATACATTTTTAACATCTTTGTGTTTTTAAATATTTATGGAAACTATTATGAAAATAGTAGCAAAAGATTAATCTATAATGCAGTCAAGGACTGTTCCCTAAACTGTAAGTAAATTTAATGTTTGAACATACAAATAAATATGAAAGACCTAATTCTCATTTACTTCAAGACACAAAATCACTTATCAGCAGTTATTGTTTCCTATCTGCCCTCAACTTTCATGTCTGCTCCCCTTCCTGTTCTGCACGCCCACCCTTTTCCATAGAGGTGGTCAACCCTTCATTTCCTGGCTAAGTGGACACAAATATTGTTTTGACATTTTTTTAAATTAGATCTTTGAAGGAAAAAAATCTGAGTCCCAGTTCTATTTCTAATAAAGTATTTTGCTCCTATAGGACTAGCGCATGTAGTCACATCCAGTGTCCCTGACATTCCTCTAGCAAAATAAAAAGGCTCTGAAAGGCAAATCAGTCATGGTTTTAATATAAGTTTGGAGATAAGCTGGAATCCAGCCCTTAGAATGAAAAATTTGCATCCTTTTGTGGGAGTTGCCTACATGGTGAAAGCAGAGACTTATCAACACTAAGCTCTCCATTACGAAGCTTATTTGTAATACCAGTGACTATTCAGTCTTTCTGACTATATATATATATCTTTTTTTTCTTTCAGGTCATGACAAACTGCTTCGTTTGTGGCATCCTGCTATTGATAGTAGGCCTACAGGGAAGCTATCAGGACACCAACATAGTGTTGTGGAAATTGTGACAAATGAAAAAGATCAACATGTCATCAGCCTTTCCTCTGCAAAGGTAAAACACTTTTCTTAATTTCACAGAAAACAATGCTATAAATGCAAGCAGGAATCTGGTTTTGAGCAAGTACTTCTGATAGTATCTAGTCCTAATCTCATTGCTTATCACTTCATTTATTTTAATAAAAAGGTCGAGTTTTAGCTTAAAATTTCAAAATTATTTTATATTGAGAAGTAAGACTAGAATGGAACTATTTGACATATTTTCTTTCTGAACGTGACAAAAGAATACTTACAATAGTAGATATTAACATTCTGGTAATTTCTGTATTACTTTGGCAACTGCCAGAATTATAACCTGTATCTGAATGCTTCATTCAGCAGTGATCACCTGCAAAAACTTCCTACAGCTTCATTTACCCTTCTCTCTGCCTGTCAGCCTACTAAATCCATAGGTGGAGTTTTTCTTACACTGGTGACTCTATACGTCATATTCAACTATTGACCTCTTTCTGAAGAGTGTCTTTTACAAGGCTTACTGATCCAAAACATTGTCCATGAACCGGAATACTAATAAAATCAATGCTAAAACTTCAACCAAATATTGCGAGATTCTGCTGGAAGTGAATGAGTTTCCTTTAAGTTATTTGTGCAATCATGGCATCAGTGGATTATTTCATTTGTCAAAATGAGACTGTTCAGGAGAGAATAAAATCTTCTAAATATATGTGCAAAAATAAATGAGAAGCCCCTGAAGGAGTAGTTATGAATGGCTATGGAGCTCTTTCAAGAGTCATCCTATGCAATATTTTCAATATTCAGCGGTATTCAATATTTTCATTAACATCTGCAGTGATGGAATAGAGAGCATACATACTAAATTAACCAGTTGTCCCAAAGTGGTTAAGGCTGCAGGCCCTGGGCAGAAGTATTAGAGTTTAGAACCGTCATTAAAATTGAAGATGTTATCTGTGGAAAATACCTCCTATAAAGCAAGAAGGACCTAATATAGTTAGTCTACTGAGATATCCATCTATCTCAAAGGTTTCCAGCTTTTTGTTGGGTTATGTAGGAAACATTACTGAGCTATTTATTCTGCCCATGCTGCTCCTCTGCCATAATTGCTTACCACTGCTCACTGAGGTGCCAGTAAATACCACATTTTCATGTCTTTAATCCTATTCTTAAAATAACCCACACCCTTCTAAAAGTACTACTAGCTGAAAATAAGTCATCAGAAATCTCCCATCTTCACATCATCCTGGAGCCATAACCATTCCCCCTTCCTCACTCCTATACATCTATACCTGTCTGTTCTGTAGGTAACTCTGTACATTTACTAGAGGCATACATTACTGCCAAATTAAGGAGGGTTTTGACAGATAGCCTGCAAGCTATACATGCAGGAAAAATGGAGTAAGACATAAGACATGACTTAAGGGGAATGCATGTACATGAAGATATATTTATAGAAAAGCAACTAAGAATGAGGCCCCTGGGGCAGTAAATGACTAGAAGATCTCCTGAGGTCCCTTGTGGGCCTTTCTGTGATACAATATGATGACTTAGAGGGAAGCAAAGTCTATTTTACCAGTCTCCAAGTAGGTGGACACCTGATCTTAACTAAATGTAGCTGAATTGTGCCAATGACATCAATAAGATCACTTGTACATGAAAATGAATATGTGAAAGTATGTTTTAATTAAAAGCTATGTGTCTTTAAACAGCACTGTGAGTTATAAGGCAGAAATTACACTTCTCAAAAATAAGTAGAAATAGAGTTAAATTCCTAGGCTTTCAAAAGTCAGGTAGATCTTGTGGTAGAAGGGATCCCTCACAGAGAAGTCTAAAGGACTTTACACATAAAGTGACGATCACTCTGTGCCTCAAAGAATTTACAATCTGTAGATGGTACATGGTATACACAATAGCGAAGGAAGGTCAGCTGTAACAGGATTGCTTCCAACCCAGCTAAAGCACATTTGTGTTTGTATAAACAAGAACCAGGTATTATACAAAAATGTGCAACTTCCCAGGGAACTTTTAAAGTTATGTTAAATACATAATTAATTTGTTTCCACCTAAAAAACAAAGACCAATTTGCTTTCCAATCTGCCTAGTGTAAGAAAAATCAAAACACTTCCTTCTATTTTGTTTTCATCTTTCAGTGACTGTGATATAGGAGGCCACTGAAGCAAAATAAGGAAAGCCTATATATCTTCACTGAAAATAAGTTAGAGAGATATCAATGATCTCATGGAAGCATTGCAACCAAGGGAAACAAAATGTCTTTATATTCAACAGATTTGCACCAGCTGTTTGACAGAATAGCAGAACTAGGGAAAAGCTTAGGAAATTTAAATTAATACTTTTTCTCGACATTCCCAAAATTCAATTTAACCTAAAACATGTCAGATATTCATATTAAAATAAAAGCTTTGTTATCATGCCATTTTTCAGCTAAAAATACAGAACAAGGTAAAAAGTAGGGAATATTTTTTTTTAATTAAGCTTTGTAATTGTTATATTAACATATTTGAAGGCTCAGACTGATTTTATACTTTATGGCTATTTTTCTTGAACTATACTGAATATTTTCATGACTTATTGTAAAGATATTTTTATGCTATATAAATTACAAATTTCAAAACAGCATCATAAAGGTAAACCGAAGTCTAATGCACTAGGGAAATATTTTTCTCTAATGACAGAACCTGAAAGAAGATTGTAGTATTTCTCCTGTCACTGTCGGGTTACAAACTATGTTCTTCAGGTAGATGTGTATTCACAGACTGGGGTAGTCTTTATACCATCAAGGCCTCAATCAGAAATGCAGTAAATTTCTATATATTCTGTGTATTGTTTGTTTCCATTTCCTTCAAGAAGCGAGATGTGAATGACAACAGCATCATCTTCCCAGTCAAGTTTGGTTTCTTAATTCTTACCAGGCATAGATAGTCCTTATTTTCTGACATAAGTGAGTGTAGTGAGAAAGTTATAGTTTCACAGGTGGACAATCATAGCTTCTGTCAGAGAACCAGGGAAAGTTAAAGAAAGATGGGAAATTTTTATACATCATACAAGAAGAATACAAAAAAACCTTATACATTACAGTAGATAAACTTCTCCCTGTTTTTAGCTGTTCTTTAAAGGACTTGAGAAATAGATGATACACAAATGATTTATTAAACTTTCACTATATTTGAACTTTGTACTCACGAGACCTGGCCTTGGCATGAGCCACTACTGTATTTTGTGGAATTATATGCATGTCACAATTAAGAAACTATTTTGTATCTGTCCTTCTCTACCTCCATCACTTCCCTTGTAAGCAGACACATGCTGATGATGTTCAGTTTGGTGGGCTCAGTGGATCCGGTGGGCATCCCACATCTTTTCTGCTGCAAGCAGAGACCTTAATTGCTAAAGAGATAGATTATATCTTTTAAAATAAATTCTTAAAATGTTTTGAGATTAGGATAATATGTTAAAAGTCCTTGCCTTTGTTACTGGCTCATGGGTCAGACAATGAGAAGGGCTGGACAGTGGGAATAGGGGGTATTCCTGTGAAATATATTTAGGAGCCTTTTAGAGAAAAAAATTCCCAAACCGTGTTCTTGTTTGGGTTAGATTGCATATATTGCACTTAACTTCCAGCTCTCACTCCCTAGAACAGTAACACGTAATTTCCTACGATCTGTTGCATATTACTTTATGAAGAACAACAAGACTTAATGTTGGATAGATGGCTTTTAAGATATTATCTGAGCTACATTCCCGGGGACTAATATCCATGAAGGTAGAAAGATAGAAAGCATATTCTCTCTGACCGTATTTAAGAAAATCAAATAGTCGGTCTTTTGGTAGTCAGTTTTCTTTGGTATGTTTTGTACGCACTATTAACTTTCTATATTAACAAAGTTTAAAAATGTTTTAAAACAAGGATTTAAACAAAGAATTTTACTACCTTGCTTTGCCCTCATTTGACTTCAAAGGACTTTTAAGACTGAAAAGCCATACACAAATGTACTCACAAGAATATCTCCACAGCCCATATATAATTATTTATGGCACAGAGTTCAAAACTAAGGAATCACATTGGCTTTTGGTTTCAGACTTGTGCTGCAGCAAAGATTTGCAGTCTGAAGAAGTAATGACTGAGTTAGGGGGTTCAAAAACTCCAGTGAATGGTTTTAAAGATACCACAAATGTTACATATCTTTTACAAGAGTACTGGGGGATTCAGTTGATGGTATTAGCCTTAGTTCCGTACTATAGAAAATTAATGTATGCTGTCCTTTATACAGAAATGTAAAAATAAACCAAATCTACATCATGGTTTCACAGCAGTAGTGCAAAAAAATAGAAATCACAGGGGCTTTGTATTACAGTGGAAGAGCTAGTTTACAGGGTTATTAGCTCTAACAGTCTTAATATCCCAGAGCATAGAAACCAGAGTGGAGTCCAGGAGAAGGGGAGGGAAGCATCAGTGTGTTAAGCAAGCATCAAAAGAAACATCCCATGCAACACAATGGCCAGGATACAAAACAGATGTCTCTGTGAAGAGAACAGTATGATCGTGCAGACCTGAAATCAAAAACTAAAACTTCAAAGAGGAAAAGGGTTGTCTTTGTTACTGAAGTGCAGGCGTTCTTCAGAACCAGTAACTTACTTGTAACTGCATGCTAGATTAAAGGCAATATTGAAATTATCCAAGAAGTTTAGGAAAGCTGACATAAATAAACTATTTTGTATTATGCTCATTTTTAAGACCTTCTCTTTAACCATATGTAAAAAATTGTAAATAGAAATAAGTGAAAGATTTTTAACATAAGGGTCAGTATTATGCACTGAGGGAGACCATCCCAGTGACATAACTTAAATGAGGAAGTACATTGCTGCCTTTTTGGCGTAAGGCCTTTTAGTGTATGTTTTGTTTGCACTGTGTGCAAGCAATTGGTTTGATCACTGCAAGCATTTCAGGTGTTTTCTGCGGCTGCCATTTTTGCTTCTGAAGTCTGCTTTTAATTTCAGTTCCATGACTTTTAGTGGTTTTAT